GTATGTTATTATATTATTGCGCTATATTCACCCAATTCTCAACAATTTCAGAACTCATCACTAACAACGACTGAATCCGAAACTCCAGACGAATATCATAGAACAAATATACCTGAATCTCCAGTTAATCTTGAAGTCAAGAGCGAGCCAGCACCCCAAGTCATTAACGACAACTCCAGCTCTAGTTCCAAACTCAATTACGATGACATAATATCACCAACCAATGAAAAGGCAGGGAGTTTTGCCGACTTTATGGGTAAAAGTGAAAAGGATCGACTAAGCAAATTGGATCAAATCGTCCAAAATTTGTATAGCACGCACAAGATTGGCAACCCTACTGCTACTCTGGTGAATTCTGGAGGTGAGTTCATTCCTTTTTTCTTATCATGCTCTGAAAACCTCACTCCAGATACAGGTGCTGTTGGCTCAGTTTAAAAGAATCAGGTTTGTTTGAACTCTGTCAAATGCCTAATCCTCCCGCCCAAAACAATAACCCAGTTAATACAAAATCTCTATATCTATCTTTTTTTTTCATTCATTTTTTTTTTTGTAAACATTGCCCCACACTAGGATTTTCTCCTGTGTCGTGGGTGCGTTTACAAACATACAAGTTCACATACACATGACACCCAGACACGGAACAACAATCTGTGGATCGCACAAAGAGTTATTCCATGCGGGAATCAAAACCGAGACACGTTGCGCGATAGTCAGTTGCCCAACCACTGCGACAACCGTGAATTCATCTATCTATCTACTTAGATATTTGACAAAAAGTTCTAACAACTTGTCAAAAATCAATTTTGATTGAGATTAATTTCTAGCGCTACTCGACCCAAACGTGAACTACGAAACTATGAAAGTCAGCCTAATCACAGCATAGTCTATCATTGTCAAAAATATTAAAATCATTCCAATATTATAAATGTGAAAGTTTCCTCGTTTGAATGTTTGTTCGTCAATCACGCTGAAACTACTGAACAGATGTTGATGAGATTTGGTGTATACCATGTATACCATGCTTGTATAAGCAGGGCATGAGCTGGCTTAGGTGATAGTGATACTTTATGTCCCGATTAAATGCACCCAGGGATCATATTTTACGTGGATGAAGTCGCGGGCAGTAGTTTATTACACATATTGCAAGGAGGACTGAGATGCCTTGCTAAGGAGGAGGCGGAACGCGTAAGGCAGCGAAGCGCTGCCTCCTCTCGGAAGGACACTCCAGCTCGGGCCTGCGGACGGCGAGCATGGGTGGCTCCCCGTCTGACCAGAACCAGACCCAAGCGTTCCGCGCGCGCCTCAAAGAGCCATCAGACCACCACGGATGGGGCCCAATAGGGCTGATGCCGATTCGGAGCCGCGAAGAACTTAACGGGATACCGGGGCTCCGGCTCGACGTGCAGGAGAAGTAACGGGGTGGTTTTTAGTCAGTAAGAGTCCGACACTCCCTCCCGCGTCACCCAGGCGGGAGAAAGCATTCGACAAATTTCTCCCTAAAAAAAAAATCTACATATTATATAGATGTATAATAATTATTTTTGGCAATTTTTATCCCGATTAAATGCTCCCATGAGATAAAACAGGAATCATATTGTACGCGGACGAAGGCGCGGGCAAGAACTAGTTACAAATAAGTTAAAAGTCTTACTTAATGTAAAGGTAGAGATGATGACTTAAAATCTCTGAGGGCTTGTTATATTAAATTCAATTAATTATATAAATTGAATAATGGAATGAATTAAGATTGCAATTTGTTTTGATTATGTGTTTATAATTTGTTTAACAGCGTAGTAGACTTTGTTGTTTCTTAGAGTTAAATAGGAAAGTTTTGATATAATCTAAAGATTATTTGAAACATGTATATATAAAGGTACTTTTTTTAAGGGGGGAAAATCATCGAATGACTGCTACCGCCTGGGTGAGGCGGTAGGGAGTGTCAGACTCTTACTGACTAAAAACCACCCCGTTCCTTCTTCTGCACTTCGAGCCGGAGCCCCGGTAACCCGTTAGGTTCTCCGTGACTACTAGGAGCACTAAGAACTGATTTTCGGAAATTCACGCTTTAAAATAACAAAAATAGATCCAATTTTCAATTATGACGCGTACGAAACGGCAGTCGAATTATTAGACTTTATTAGTGCGTTATAATATCATAATTTAAGTTTTTCACCAATAAATAACTAAATACTGTATGTGGTGAAATTGACCACTGACGACTGACGTGTGCAAAGTCGCGCGCGGTCAACTATCTGTTAATAAATAAACGAAATCTTAGTTACAGAAATACCAGAGTACGACAGAAAATGGCGGATGAATAGCTCGGTATGTACAATCTGCAACAAGAGGCTGTCGAACCAGTACAACCTGCGCGTGCACATGGAGACACACGCCGGACGCCGCCACGCGTGCCGCGCATGCTCACATGTGTCACGGTCCAGGGACGCATTGAGGAAACATGTCGCCTATAGACATGCTCCCCCGCAACACAGGGCCGGACGAGGCGACATGTGAGCGAATTTGCAACAGTTTTATTGTCAATGGGCCCTACCGTATTTTTCCTCTCTAGATCACGCAAGGTTCTGTTATCCAATCACAACAGCTGTCAAATATTAAACGTCCAATGTAGAGAGACTAACTAATTTCCTATTGGACGAAAAACGAGATGACGACATTAGCGACATCTAGCGAGAACAAATATACAGTATGCTCCATGGAGTTTCCTTTCTTATCTGCATATTATAGCATATTATATCGTGAAACATATCAAATTAATTAAACTGTACAGTTTACTTAAGTAACTAGCTTCATTTTTGACATTTTAAAAATACCTACATATATATAATAAAGCTTAGACTCCTACTACAACTGATGGATCGTCAGTGTCGACAATTTTTGACCACTAGATGGCGCCAGTGTCCTCGTTTCGATTTTCATCCAATAGGGAATTAGCTAATATGACACCATTAGACATTCAGTATTAGACAGCTACAGTGATTGGACAAGGAAAGCTCTTACTACATTTGCGCTATTTGGTGACCAAAAAACGGTAATCCCCATTGCGGTGTGCTAATTCTGCTATGAATGTAAGCCCCCAGTGTAGCTTGAAACTTATTGAATGACTCCGTACGAGTTACGAGAGTAAGTCATACAAATTAATTTATTTATTCTGTATTTTGTTAACCATGTCCCTTAATTTTCTTGTAATTTATACGAAAAAATATTTTTTGGTTTCCAAAAATAATGCTCATATATATTATATACTGAAGACTTATTTATGACATTTCCACTCAATTAGAAAAAGCGAATTGATGAAAAATCATAATAATTATGGACAATAATTAATAGTAATTTGATAAAACTAAATACTTATTTACACTTGTGTCAAACTTATAAAGCAACAGTTCATAAAAGTTATTTTAACTTTTTTAAATATTTGAGCGAAGATCAATTTCCAAATACACAAATCACAATTATTTGATACCATCAAAATCATAATAATATTAGTTAATGATATTTTATATTAATGTTATTTAGTAAATTACCAAATAATAGTACCCTTTAGTTACTGATTTTTTTTAAAGGTGTGACTACAATATTGAGTGTTTGCGAGCATTAAATTCGAGCATTAATCCTCAGAGTAAAATTTTATGCTCATGCTTTTAATGAGTCAGACAGAATAGAACTATTTTTCTAATGCTCAAAAATTAATGCTTGCACCAATGTCACACGCTACAAGCATAAAATATTAAATTTTATTCGAGTAAACTCGACTAAAAACTCTTGAATACCCACCGAAGGTATTTATTACCAAAGTAAATAAAAAAGACGTTTTTTTCTTTAACTTTTTTTGAGTGTAATATTGTTTTTTATCATTTCATTAATTGTTTTTTTATTTTTTGTCTACGACGCCATAAATATATTTTGTTTATTCGACCTTATTGATGCGTGATAAGGTCGTAATATCGTAAATAAATAAATAAATAAATAATGGCGAATTTGACCGCTGCGTTACATAGAACAATTTTACAATGCTAGTAATTTTTACTCTGTATTTATTATCCATATAAAAGATATTTTTAGGAATGTTGTGTAACAAAATATTCAATTTATTTTATAATACTATGTCCAGGACGTTGAAAAAATGGCGGACACAGTCTATTGAAACAACGACTGTGGCACCTGGCTACTATAGACTTACACGCAGAACACACACACATTGACACGAAGGACATCTGTCATTTTCTTAAGTCTGGTAACGTGGTAACCCATTACACACGCACACATAAATAAACCACTGACATTTTATTGCTTCAATCATTTTTAAGTGACATTAGTCCGCCTTTTTTCCAACGTCCTTGTATTCTGTGATACGGGAACTAACGATGTTTTATTACAGAATATCTCAAAAATCACACAATTGGGTATTTGTCAACTAGTCAAATTCAATACTTTTTTTTTCGAACTGTCAAAAACGTCAGTTTTCTATGAATTTTGTACGAGATTGTGTATTGTGACGTCACGTTTTTTTAGCGTCAAACAGCATACCTATTTCTTAAAAAAATACTGGAAAAATACTAAAATTAAGTCAGTAATAAAATCATTTAATCAAAGTGAGATTTTTTAAATGTTTTGTTGTATTTAACAGTTGAAATCATATATTTTTGATTAAGGCAAGTACCCTATTATAGAATTACAGGTAAACGAAAACTTTATGTCTACATTGTTCTAAATGTGATTTGGCGCCAACTTACGAAAAATCCAATATGGCGGATTCTTTTCTATGCGTCGCTAGTTCCTATAATGTCCTTTCAACGTTATAATATTTTTATAGTTTCTTTCTGAGACTTTGAAGGACATTTAATTGCAATCATGTTTCTAGTCATGTTTAAAACCCTACACTCATGTTTTTAGCGTAAGCTAGTATAAAAAGACATTATATTTAATTAAAAGACAATTTAGTTAAGTCCTAATAAAATAAATAAATAAACAAAAATGTTGAATCGTTTTTTAATACACCTTCTGTCCCCAATATTTGTTAACTATCTATCTTCTATGAGAAGTTTTGAGCATTAATCACCACGCTGATCAATGCGGGCTGGCGATTTCAAACTTATAACGAATAAGTCCAGGTTTCCTCTTTTCCTCATATTTATATATTTGTTTGTATAGTTTTACTATCTCACTTAAAGCTGTTCTTAACTCTAAAGTACTTATTGTCGTATGTATTTTTAATTTTGTCTAAAATATCTACTTATCAGTAACGTAACATAATGGTAATATAGCGCGTTCGATGCTCTGTTTGATTGGTTTACTGGAGCCAGCCAATCATAATGTAATAGACATTACGAATGCGATAGTTATTCGTGTTTAGCATTCTATTATCAACAATTAAATACTTGTCTTCCTCGTTAATGATGCTTTCAACAAAAAATAAAACTATTTACCTTACATAAGCAAAATCAAATATTGTATTACGATATTTTACAAAAATAAACTTAAAAATAAAATCACAATATAAATGCATCCAAAACTAATCTAAATAAGCCTTAATTCAGACATGAGTGCAACATACAAACTAAGTTATTGCGTTCCTTACATTTTATCATTGTCGTCTAATTCTTATTTTTTTGTTGATCATAAGGTTCTTATGAAATAACTTCCTTATATCCTGAATTTTTGCGCGAAGAGAATTAACAACGCTTTGTTCGTCATACATTCCCCATTTCTTTTTGCGTCCCATTCTTTCAACGTAATTTAACATCACCTGTCTTGCATGCTCGTCTAAACCTGGTCTAACATCATTTTCGTCAACCGCAAAAGCGTTAGCCCTGGCCCCGGTCCATGAACACACACTCAATGCACTTCGAGTAAAAATTAACGTCAGCAACATCCTCGCAAATTCCTTATAACTACTCGAAATCCTTTTACAGTTCGCCAATTTTATAGCATTTACGTAAATACGACTTTTAGGCAAAAGTTCTATGGTAACCTGATCAGCACTTTGATGTATCAACGTCCATCTTGAATTTGTCGGTGAATATTCTCGCGGTAACACAAATGAATACTTCTTGCCTCGCCTCTTCATTTCTTCATTAAGATTGTTAGAATGGATTATTGATAATTTATCACCATCGCTATCAACAGTCTTCTTGTCATCTTTGATTTTAGTAGTTTTATCTCCAGAGCGCTTATTATCATTGCTGGGAGTTGAACTTTTTTTACCATGTAGTTTATTATTGTTGCTTGAATTACTCCTAATATTACCTTTATTGTTATTGCCATCATCATCATCAGAACTATCACCGTCATTATTATCATGCCTATCACCATCATATAAACTATCGTCATCGTCCTTGTCGTTCTCGTCGTCTTCGTCGTCCTCGTCGTCGTCAACATCCTTTATTTTTCCTTTTTTCTTCTTCTTTTTCTTTTTTACTTTTTGGGATGCTGAATGTTTCGGTGCTAATTTAATTTCGGAATTTTCATTTTGCAATTCTAAATAAGAAGCGATTGATGTTAGAGCTTTGTCAAGCATTTCTTTTTTCTTCATTATCACTTTTTGGTCACGATTTAGAACTTCAAGAATTTCGCCAAATTTATCAGACATTATTTGAAAGACTTTACCGAAGTGTTTTATTAAATTAACTTCGACTTGCGTTCGAAATGTTGGTGATAGTACATTATTAATTTTGTTTGTTAGCTCAATTAATATATCTTCAGCCTCATTATGAGTTTGATTTATTTTTACTATATCAGTGCTACTGCTTCTTTCAATTTCTTCGGGAACAGCGTTATCTTTGGTTTCGTTGCATACAGGTCGTTTTTCAACAGCAACACATGGTGACTTCTTCGTGTTGGTATTAGGGTTTTTGACGGCAGATAATGCATTTTCTCCAACATTCTCAATATTAGTGCTGGTGTTAAAAATTTTCTCTTCCATGTTACTGTTATTTAAAATATTTGTTGAATTAGTTTTATCATTAGAATTTCCTGTGGGGTTTGAGATTTGTTGTACTGCAGTTGGTATATCGTGCGACATGTCATTTCTGTGAGGGATCTGATTTAACATATCATTGCTTCTCGGACTCGCCGTAATATTTTCTTGTACTTCTGGCACTTGATGAGGATAGTTTGAACATGCTTGTGGTATTACTGTCTTGTTTACATGTGCACTGTGCAACTGTCTTAATTGGTTTGCCGCATTTGGAGGATACGTATGCAGCCTTTGTGTGGGAACTCCTAAACTCGGGTGTTTGTGTCCTGTTCCACTTCTATACATTAAATTTGGTTGTACTTGCGTGTCAGGAAGCGAGTAATTATATCCTTCGTGCGAGTAATTATGGCGATCGTGATATGAATACTCATATGAGTGCGGGTGATTCGATGTTGGTATATTTGGCATTGTATGAATCAATTTCGATGTCTGATCAACTTTGGATGGTATAGGAACTGGTGGTATAGGGTGTGAAGCAAAACTTTGTTGCGGTACAGGAGGCATTTGAATGTTACATGGCATTTGGTTTTTAGGTCCACTCGTTTTGGATGTATTAGGCAAAGGAACTGTGTAACCAGCATAATGTTGCTTCTGTAAATCAGGCATGTGGACGTTCGAAGGCACAACATTTTCTGGCATCTGCGGACAGCATGTAGTATAGGATCTATCCGCTACCCTCCTCCTGGTTGGACAGCCAGAGGATCTGATTTGATTAGCATACTTTCCATTCGCTGCTACTTGTTGCTCAGTCTGCCTATGTTGAGACTCTCCAATAACCTGATTATTGTAAGATAAATATTGGAGGTTAGATATATTTTGGATATTAGATACATTGTGGGCCCTGCTTTGTGAATAAGTTGGATCTATAATCTTCGTTACGGTAGATCTTTCAGTTGTTATTTGTCGTTCATGGGGATCTTGGTACAAAATGGGCGTATCTGCTGTTATTGGATACGGAACTCTGGGAGAATTATTTATTGTTTGCGCTTGTTTAAGAGCAACTTGCGCAGCTTGCATAGCTTGAAGAGTAACTTGTGCAGTTTGTGTAGCTGGCAGAGAAGCTTGCGCGGCTTGCATAGGTTGTGGAGTAGCTTTCGGACCTTGCTTAGCGTGTAGGGTAGCCTGTGCAGCTTGCATAACGTGTGGACCAACTTGCGCACATTGCATAACCGGTGTAGTACGTTGTGCAGCCTGCATAGGGTGTGGAGCAACTTGCGGTGCTTGCATAACCGGTGGAGTGCGTTGTGCAGCCTTCATTGCATGTGGAGCAACTTGCGCAGACTGCATAACCGGTGGAGTACGTTGTGCAGGCTGCTTAGAGTGTTGAGCAGCTTGCACTGCTTGCATGACCGCTGGAGTGCGTTGTGCAGCCTCTATAGCATATTGACCACCTTGCGCAGACTGCATAACCGGTGGAGTGCGTTGTGCAGCATGCATAGCATATGGGGCAACTTGCGCAGATTGAACAATCGGTGAAGTACGTTGCGCAGCTTGCATAACAACTTCAGCAGATTGCATAACCGGTGGAGTACGTTGTGCAGCTAGCATAACTTGTGGAGCAACTTCCGCAGATTGCATTACCGGTGGAGTACGTTGTGCAGCCTGCATAGCGGCTGGAGGAATTTGCATTGCTTGCGCACTATCCTGTATATTTTTTAAACAACTTTGCAACAGTTCGTGATCGATACCTTTTAGGCCGCCAGATGCAATAAATTCTTGTAAAAGACGTTTTCCTTCAGGTGTAATATTGGAGAATATTTGAATATTATCTAGTGTATCTAATTCAGTAGACTTTCTCACCGAATTTCTTCGTCGTGTAGCCTTAGCTGGTGGATTATTATAATTATTATTTTGTAAAGGACGATTGGCATCAATTTTCTTTGTACTTGAATTGCTATCTGCACTTACTGTATTAGTCGGTTTATTAATTAGGCTTGTAGTACTAACTAGACTTTTGGTTGCATTCATTGTAAGCTGACCAGATTGACTGGAAGGCCTAGATGACGTACTATTTCTTCTATTATTTACAGAATCAGGTGTTTCTTGTAGAATTTGCATTAAAGAACTTGAACTGGAACTCGTAGCTCCATGATCTTTTTCTGGAGATTTTTTACCTTTATTTGCACTTGAAATGCTTGTTTCTGGGTGATGTGAATGCAGTTTTTCGACGTAAGAAGTTTTAGAAGGGTTTTGTTCTTCATTATTAGTTAGATCTACTATTTTAGACTTAGTGATAAGTAATTCTGGTAATCTGGATATCATAACTGCCAAATCCTTACATAATTTTGAATTCTTTTCTGAGTTGGAAACGTTACTTATAGGTTCAGGTACACCAGGAGTTGATTCAATTCTAGCGGCTTTTCTATTTCTACCGCAATCTATTGATACCTTGCGTTTGAGGGACTGTGTTAATTCATCTCGAGTGTTCATCTTTGCTTTGCTCTTGGGTTTGTTTTCTTGATGTCTACTCTGCTTCGGAGGGAGTACTTCTGTAATTAAAAATTTAATTTTGTGATTTATTTTAAGATATTCAAACTCGTGCAACGAGTTCGTCCTACCAGTAATGACATAAGGAGCCGAGACGTGGACACTAACAGTGCGACTGATCCACCAATTTAAGGTGGCGCAGCGAGCTATGGAGAGGGCTATGCTCGGAGTATCTCTGAAAGATAGGATCCGTAACGAGGTGATCCGACAGAGAACTAAAGTTACCGATGTAGCCCAAAGGATAAGCAAGCTGAAATGGCAGTGGGCGGGTCACATTTGTCGAAGAACCGATGACCGCTGGGGTAGACGTGTTCTGGAGTGGAGACCGCGTCTAGGCAAACGTAGTGTAGGGCGCCCTCCAGCTAGGTGGAGTGACGATTTACGTAAAGTGGCTGGATGCGTAGAGCTGAAGACCGAGCTCAGTGGCGTGCCATTGGAGAGGCTTATGTCCAGCAGTGAACGAAAACAGGCTGTTGATAAAACTCGCACAGAGTAATTCTATGGGTTATCCTCGTAATTTTTGTGCTGGATTTGGTTAGGATTTGTCTGTTTTAAAACTCATCAAATTTACAATGTAGTCTCTCTTTACGGAATTCAAAATGTTTAAATATTGTGTTATGGAACTTACGTTGAGTGTCTAAGAGTGCTTTCAGCTTCTTGCTACTCTCTACGCGTATGATATTCTCAGCATCCCACGGACAGTCTGGAAATTGAAACATTTAACTGTTAAAATATTGTCTGTACTGTTAACAGGCTACTGTGCAAGGAGTTACTAGTTCCAATTCCAACGCCGAGCAAAAAGTAGTACCAAATGGGTTTTTTAGTTTAAATTCTCGTTTCCAAAACATATTAGTACACAGTTACACACACAAAGCTTTTAATATCGGAAGGGTTCCAATTTCAAAATCGAGTAACTATATCAGTATTACTGACCCAATTCCGGAATTCCAGTACTAGATAGTTATTAAAAATACTGCATAATATTAATCTGGGTACTAATTCAAGGCTAGAGTGGCGATAGTACATTTTGTTTAAAGTGCACGGCGGGTCATATAAGATTAAAATGTTTTATAGCTAGACATTCCACACTCGCTATATTTTTCTATATCTATAAAAATACTAAAATAAACTTTACTGCCAAACGAGTATTAAAGTACTGGCTGAGGAAGAGATACTGATCTCAGATTTTATATCTGAGTAGGCTGACATAAGCAAACAACGCACTGGCGATGCTTCTGGTGTATTATGTGTACTCTATAGACTCTATGAGGGCCTGGTCGTGGGCCTACCAGGGTCGCGAGCAAAGCTAACAATATACCAAGATAAAATAAGATCATTTATTTCAATAAAAACTTAAACAAAATTAATACTAACTGTTATTAAATTTAACATATACAACTTAAGAAAAACATTAACATAACATCACGCCTTTTAATAGGCAGAGGTGCACACAGAAGTAACACCCACTTTTCACTAAAATTATGAGTCCCATGTATTAGGGGGTGAGCCTATTGCTATATACCGGGCACAATTTCCAGACTCCGTGCTACTAATGAGATTTAAAAACAACCGTGTAATACTTTGCCCGACTCAGGAATCGAACCCGAGACCCCTTGCCCGGCAGTCGCACTTGCGGCAACTCGGCCATCGAGGCAGTAAGAAAAAATTAATGAAAATAAAACTAAAAACAACATAAAATAAACATGTCGGCGCCGCCGTCATTATTTTGTAAACTGCGAATGTAATGGGCGAGCAGTGAACAAACAACTGACCGACGTCACTTCAACCCCACCACCGAGTGATATATAAAGCAGCGCAAGCGCAAGCTCGAGTCAGTCGTTCGTCGATCGTTGCCCAGTTCACACGTTACGCAATCGCTGAGTAATTTTATTGTTGGTTTTATTTGAGTGTTTCCTTTATATAATCAGTGCTGAATTATTCAATTATTATAATTAAAAATTAATGTGAAAGTAAGTTCATTTAATCGAAATAAACTAAGTGATTGTGTGAAGCTCTTTGTTTTATTTTCAAATAATGTCGGACCCTGATCCTACATCAGAAGTGGGATGGACCGGGATTATTGAAAATGTTAAAATTATCGGAGCCGGTTCGTGAAGAACTACCTACATGCAAATGCGACGAAGAAGATAGTGCTGCAAGATTGGAAGTGCTTAGCTATACATAGCTAGCTACTCTGTAGTGAAGATACAACGTGGCTAACGTTGAGGCAGCTACTTCGAACTGAATCGCTATCTGAAGCAGCAAATGAAGACATGACGTGGTCCCAATTCAAGCCGGAGTACATTGGCGTCCAGTGACAGCGTAAGATACGCGGCGTTAACGCAGCGTTTGGTGAGCGGCGTCTTGATGTCTGCAATTGGACACTGCTCCCATCGGGATTATACCAGGTGACTTTGTTCCATTTATTATGATTCCGATACCATATGGGTCAAAAACGAGTCAAAGACTTGAGTTTACAATTGTTAGTTTTCCAATTTGAAATTTTATTTTATTTTTGTCGGGTAGTTATTTAAAGAAAATAGCCGTGATGTTTTAGATCCGAGATTATACATGGTCATTAGAATTACGTCTGATAGTGTTACTTTGTGTTGTGTATTGTTAGGTAATATCTCAAGTAGTAGGCTTTCATTTGGTTGGAACTTGGAGGTATGGTTTCCGCGAGGTAGATGCAGAATTAAGTGG